CTCTCCTAAAGAGGCCTGAACCTACAGCCAAACTAATGTGAAACAACACTGTGGTTACATTTTGTACCATGAGGTTCTCTGATCAAGGCCTTAATTTCAGTTCTTATTTTACAACCAACCAAGACATCAGTGCCCACACATCCCAGCTTGTCACGGATAGCCTTGGACTAACCCTCCATACTTGCTATGCTGATTGGTATAAGTGACATTCTGAGTACCAGATGTGTGACTCTGACACACACACTTGATTCCATCCAACATCCTCAAAATGTGAACAAGGATGACAACATTGCCATGAAGTGCCAAGGACTCACCTAAATAATCCAGTAACATGGATGCACCTTATCAACAAGGGTGTTACACTGCATGCTGCACCTTGACTGAATTTTTTTTAAGAAAATAATTTCTCATACTCAACTCTAGCCATAGAATGCTCACCAAGAATCTTGGGCAAACCCAGAACTTGATATGATTAACTGATATTTGGATGCATTATCCCCTCCAAGAAGGGGAATTTGATAATGACATGATTATTGACACAGGTTCAAGGCCATCCACAGACCTCAAAGGAAAGCCAGCACCTCCTTGAACTCTAAGTAGCCTGGACTTATATTAAATGGTGTGTGGGCCACACACTCTAGTCAACCCAGTACAAGATCCCACGACAAAGGAGCATGTCTTTAAAGGGACAATACTACACGTAAATGAACAAAGGAAATGGACATACCCATGACGCCGACCTGGTCTGAGGCCAGGCATTTTCTCACGTCAATTTATTTTGTTGGACAAATCATAGCCTCATTTGTGACTCAATCCATGCTATTTCACTAGAAATTTGGACCCAACCACAACCATTCTTGCACTGAATATTGACATCACATCATAGGCTATAGACTGTCATCAAAGCTAATCTAGAATCTTCTTTGTGCTACCACTATAGTTTGTGGGATGTACCTGCTATTCTTCCAACACATCCAACAAACAATCTCACAGCAGGTGGATTAAGACCTCATTGCTCTCTAGTAATCTGAGCCTCACATAAACATCAAATAACAACACAGCTTGGGATCAAGGGTGTGTGGGCCGCACCCAGGAAATCCTCTGTGCCCATGTCTTCCTATATGAGGACTTTCAGAGAGCAAGGATAAAAAACTGACTTGAAGTCTGACCTAGGCCACACCTACTGCTCCAAGAAGGTTGAACACACTTTAACACCATGAGTGGGTTGTCTGAAGAATGGCATACTGTGAGTACCTTCTACTACCTGGGTCTAGCTTACATGTAAGGGTATGTGGGCCGTACCCTCTCTCCACAGGAAGGGAGCAAGGACTATGCAATGACCTTTAATGGAACAAGGAACCACTCTGCTTAATATCAAGAAGAATCAGATGGCACAACAATCTGGGCAGACACTGGCATGATGGGTGTGTGGGCCGCACCCAGGAGTCATTGTGTGCCCAACTGCTACCTGATCTTCAAGAGATCCAGTACAATATGGTCTCATGTGTGTTAACACTAACAACTCAGAGGAAACTGGAACCACCAGAAGGACCAGCACAAGCTTCAAGACTGTGGTCTAAACCCTCTTATCCTGAGTTACCTAGCAACTCTGTTGACCTTGAGCTAAACTTGGCCACTCCGTTGACCTTGACGTTCAATTTGATAGGATTAAAAACATCAAGTAACTTAAAAATGTGATGACCCTGGAGAACAGACACAATTTTAATGCGGATGTGTAATAGAAAACGCTGAAATCCACACTCTGTTCAGAAACTAGACATAGATTCTTATGTTTCTTTAGTGCCGTCATTGCCTACCTAGAAAAAGCAAGACTTATACCCTAATTTCTATAGATCTCTGCCTTTATCTTATGTACCTAACACAGTTCTGAAGCCTTGTCATATTATTCTTTGTCAAGTATCTCCTGCTCTACCATTATGTATATACTTTTAAATAAATATAAGATTCATTTGTGTCCTAGCGTTTCTATTGCTGTGAACAGACCCCATGTCCATGGAAACTCTTATGAATGAAAACGTTTAATTGGGGTGACTTGCTTTCAGATTCAGAGGTTCAGTCCATAATCGTCATGGCACGGAACATGGCAGCATGCAGTCAGACGTGGTGCTGGGGGAGTTGCTGAGAGTCCTATGTCTCTCAGGAAAGAGGAAGTCCACTGATACTGGGTTCCTGAGCATAGAAAACCTCAAAGCCCACCTCCATAGTGACACACTTCTTCCAACAATGCCATACCCACTCCAACAAAGCCACACCTCCTCATAATACCACTCCCTATGAAATTATGGGGATTAATAACATTTAAACTACCACAGTCTTCTACCTTGTTTTATCCAGAAATCCGTATTTGGCCCTTTCCCTCTCTTTTTGACTGATGGTTTTCAATCTTTGGATTGAACGTAAGAACAGGCTGTGATGTAGATACCTAGCACATCTCTTTCTCCCCTGTTGTCTCCAAGTTATGGCATGTATTTGTATGCTCAGACCTCATGAGATCAACGCACCTCTGTCCACGGTTTGTATATTTACCTTTATTTGGATTCTCCCAAAGAAAACTTAACCAAGGGTCTTAGTAGCCAGGAACCCTCACCCAGTCATGAAATCACAGGGATAAAATTTCTATATTGGAAGTGCAGCTGCCAAACTCTTCCAGTGCCCAAATCAGATAAGCACCAGTATTTAGAGATTTACTGTAAAGGTCTGGGAGGCAGGGGAGGAACAGGTTCAGTGTGGATCATAGGGCACCAGGCATGTGGAAAGTGTTTCCCAGGAGTCTCCACATGAAGATGAATGGATGCATGGAGTCTAAACACATGTAGAGATCCATATTATAGAGATGTGCCATGGGAATTTGAGCCGCTGGTGTGTGTGCTGGGGTTACCTGAGGTACTGGAAGAACATTTTTATTACAGCCTGTAGACTTAAGTGTTTCTGACTGATCCCATCTTTGTCAGATTGTAATAGTGGTACCAGGATCACACACAGAGAAATAGTGTCCCCAGGTTCATGGTGTATTCCATTGGGACAATTGCTGTGGGTTTTATCTCACCCTATCACTCTATAGACAACGTCTAAAAAATGGTTTACGGATCCAAGACAGTGACACAACTGTAATCTCAGCACACAGACGACCAAGGCAGGAGGATCTATTTGGGTTGTTTTCTACAGTTCTACTGCCCTAAACCTTTTTCAAAAAATGCTCTGTCATTTGACTCATAATGGTTTCTCCAAACCTCTGATTTTTATAGCTCTTGGGCATTTACTAAAGCAATTATTGAATCTAAAATTATTCACCAAGAGCATTTTCAAAGTATTTAATTTCTAAAGCATGCTGTACATATTAATATTTTTAAATAAAAAGATGACTATTAAAACATATTTTCCAGATAATACAAATGCATAAAATTGAAAACTCCTATTTAAAAAATGAGCATGCCTTCTTATACTAGGAATTTTTACTGTTTCTTTTTCTCTACTCTTTTCGTCTCCCTCCCCCACCCATAGTAAAGAAAATTGAGCCTAGGGACTTACCACAACCCCTACCCCCTTTCCCTTGGTTGTCCATTTAATACCCCACAGAATTTAACTGGTCATAATGGGTTTTTATATTTGAAAGTCTGCTTACCTTTACACAATTCTACAATAAATTATAACATTAAACATCATTTTCTGTGATCCTGTGTCTTTAAGTGTGAAATTTTCCTCATTTTAGTTAATACACAATTGATCAAAAAGACAAAATTTATGAGAACATTTGTAAAATAATTTGGAATTGTACCTCAATGGCTTCAACACACCACACACTCAAAGACACACACACACACACAAACACTCAGAGAGAGAGAGAGTAACAGAAAGAGAGAGAAGAGGACACAGAGATGAGAGAGACATGTTCTAGAATGAGACAAGGTTTGGCATTAATGCTATTCCTGTCTTTTCCTCTTGGTCTGACCATTGCTGACACTGAGAAATTTTTCCACATAAGTAAATCCGCAGGAATGGGAACAGTCTTGCTATGGTGATGCCAGTTAGTTATTTGCACCCCTTTAAGTTAGGATAAAATGCCCTAGACAGTATGGAGGTCTATCATTAATTTGTAATGGTTCATTAGTGAATACAACTGCCTTCCTTCCTTTTTGTTGAAAACAAGATGGTGGAAACTGCTTGGCTTGCAGGAGAAGGATTCATTATGTAGCCCTTAGAGCCTGTCTGTCATTATCTGGGATATATACAAAAACCAATATCAAATGACTATAATATTACCTCTGACTTGAAAAGCATTCTGCCTTATCTAATCAGTCTAAAATATTTGAGAAAATGAAATATTGTATTTTAATAGTTACTGTGAAACTGTCTAGAAATGTGCTGGTTGGTTTCTGTTGTCAATTTGATTCAACTAAGAGTTCCTTAGGAAGAGGCACCCTCAACTGAAGAACCGCCTTGATCAGATTGGCTGGTGGGGGTATCTGTGGGAATCCTCTATGTGTCTATGAATGCATGGGGGCCAAGCCCACGTTGGGGCAACATCCCTAGGCAGGTGAGCCTTGTCTGTATAAGACAGCCAGCAGAGCAGAAGTCAGAGAGCAAGCCAGCAATCAAGGCGCCTCCATGGTCTCTGCTGCAGCTCTTGCTTCCAGGTTCCTGACTTGAGTTACCTCAGTGATGGACTATTTTCTGGAGGAGGAAGTCAAATAACCTTTCCCTCCCCAAGTTACTGTTGCTCTTGGTGTTCACCAAACAACAGAAAGTAAGCTAGTTCAGAAAACTTTTTAACTGGAAAGATGGCCATTCCTAGAGGAAGAAAAATGGTACACTGATTCATATAATGCAATTATATATGTGTATAATATAAACATGTATATATACATATATTAGAGTTATAATGTATAGGTATCTTGTATCATCTAAACTCCTATTCCTTCTGATAATTTAAAAGGCAGTTTTAGATACTGTAATAATTTCATCATATAATACCAAAAAAGTGGGAAACTCATCCTTTATCATTATCAATTAAAAGCTCAGTACACACTTTGTACTACTAAATTTGTTCATATCTAGAATGAAACACGGAACACATAGCAAATTAAGGAAGGAAGGGTTTACATTGTAGGGGAGGGGAGTACTTCCTTGTAGGGGAAGGTATAACAATAGTAACATACTGTAGCTGGTCACATTACATACGCATTCAGGAAACTGGAATTCAGCGGGCTTCCCCAATTTCTCCTCACTTCATTCATCTGTGTTTGTGGACCATAGAATAGTGGTGCTCATGTTCATGATGGAAGCTCCTCCTCTCTTGAACTCTAGAAACACCCTCATAGACATGACAGACGCATGTCTTCTAGGCAATTCTAAGTGTAGTCAAGTGGACAATGAAAACTGACAGGCATATACTTCATACAGCAAACATTCAGGGCACACAATAACCCAACAGTCTTACATAAGTAGTGTATATCCTTTCCTCTAGGGATTTAGAGCTGTTTCTCTCTTTTAATGATGTCTAGACATCATTGAGGATCACTGCCTGGGTCCTTCAGTGTCTTGGAATTACAAAATGATGTCACCTCTGTGGGTGACAAACTTGGAATAGTCCTACAAAAAGAAAGCTTCTGCCCTTGGGAGCTCTTTTAGTACATACATCCCCAATTATGCTACCTTGACATAAGAATTATTTTAAGCTGAAGACAATAAACACAGGAAGTGCAAGAAGATCTCCCTGATACTTGTTGCTTCTAAAAGCCCCAAATGAAATTCCCTTTTGTAAGATTCTCCACCCACCTATTCCTTACCAGAACGACAATGACATTCTTGTCATGAAAGTAGCTGAGACTGAGGAAAAACTATACAAACACTTACATTCCTGGTCACTTCTCTACCCAATTGTTTTCACTTGTCTTACAACATTTTCACAGATCACTACTTTGTATGCAAGCCAGTGTTTATATGTATTGATGCTAACTGCTTCTTGAAGTCTTCAGTTCCTCAGGAAGGTGCTCACTTGGTAAAACTTGAATTAACTACATTTGCATCATTTTCCTCTGCTGAGTTATCTTATTTCAGTTTAGTTCTTAAGTCCAGATGTGTGTAATGCCAACAAGCTGTCAGAGCACACGGAACGTAGGTGTGAAGTCAAGTGGTCCCCAGGCAGACATATTAGTAGGTCACTTCCGCTTACTGCTGTGTATGTGAGTATGAACACGTATGTGAGAGGAGGGTAGGGAGGTGTGAACCCTGAGTTCAGGCCAAGGTGTCAGAAAAGCAGTGAAAGCTGCTGTGACAGTTGGGGAGTTGAAAAAGAGCCCTCCAAGTGTAGCTGACACCGCTTCCGGAGGAAAAGCTTCTGTTTCTACCACAGACACTATTCTAGGAAGAGTGTCCCGAGAGTCTTATTAAAAAGTGTGCTTCTCAGGGATGGAGAGGTGGCTCAGTGGCTAAGAACACTAGCTGCTCTTCCAGAGGTCCTGAGTTCAATTCCCAGCAACCATGTGGTGGCTCACAACCATTTGTAATGAGATCTGGTGCCCTCTTCTGGCCTGAAGGGATACGTGCAGACAGAATACTGTATATGTAACAAATAAAAAAATCTTTTTAAGAAAAATGTCCTACTCAACAGCACAGTTTTAGAAAAGTTCAGGAACGGAAACCCGTGGCCAGGACTCTGGGTCCTGAGTTATCCTGCCAGCTCCTGCATGAGGCATGTCAATGTCACAGGCAGATGAGCTTCTGAAGATCTGAAGGAATCGATGAGGGAGCCAGACATGGCAGCTAGGAAACCCTGTGGGTCTACCAAATAAACTTCAGCACCATGAAGAATATATGGGCAAATGGTGCCCTCTGGTGGAAAGATCCCTTCATTCTCCACAGAGCAGGGGAAACAGCCCCCAGTATCCGGTCTACCAAAGAGGCTGCATTAACTTTTCTTGGTGGTTCCTCACTGCCATAGCTCCTAGATGCCCACAGCCTCCCTCAGATCTGGCTCAGAACCCTGGACTTCATGTTAGCTCACTCTTGGCCTTCTCCCTCTCGTTCTTCCTCCCCTCCCCCTCTTTCCCTTCCTTTCTTCCTCTCTCCTCTCCTTCCCAGATCCTCTCCCCTCTCCTTTCTGCCCCCACCAGCTGGCCAGCCTTCCTCTTGGTCTAACTATTTGACCGGCTTGATCTGCTCTTTACTCTGTAGGTAATTTTGCTTAGGTTGCAAATCCAGCTCAGACTTGGGCTTTCTAGTCCAACATTTACTGAACCCTAAACTCTAGAAACCTTATGCTTTTCTGAGGGCCTTGTTTTCTAAAGGATGAGTTCAAATTAGCCCAGTAGTGAATCTATCTCTTATTTAGAGCAATTGGTGATCAGTATGTCTCTATCTCTCCACCCCTCCTCCCTGCGTGTGCCTGTGTTAGCCTGAGTATGGAGTCTGGATACAGAATCCATGTCCTCAGGGTTTCAGGCTTACAAGACAGATGCTCTGCCAACTAAGCCATTTCACCAGCTCAACATGATTTGCTTTTTTAATATTTTATTTAGACAGAGTCTCCATCAGCTTTTTTTGTAACTGTTTTCACTAAACTGGTAATAACTGGCAAGGAAAAAAATCTGCATTTAGTATCATCCAGCTGCAAAGTTTGACATGGGAAGGAGACTTTAGCTTTCTTTTGTAATTATTTGCTGTGTTAAATGACAGGTAAAACAATATTTTACTTAAAATAGCATAATTAATGCAAAATAAATTAGTTTAATAAGGGGATCCAAAGAACATATTAAGACTGGGTTTGGAAAGTCAGAGTGGGTATAATAAAAACCTGGCATCATAGAAACAAGGGTATTTGTTTCAAGGGTGTGGTCCAGTGGGTCTCAAACTTCTTAATGGGTTGTGGCGACCCCAACCATAAAATTATTTTCATTGCTACTTTATAGGGATACTCTTGCCACTGTTATAACTCAGAGTGTAAATTTTGTGTTTTCAAATGGACTTAGGGGACCCCTGCGAAAGAGTTGTTCGACCCCAGAGGGGTAGCAATCCACAGGTTAAGAACCACTGGTGTAGCCGGAGCTGCCTTTTCATCAATTCAGCCCATGGGAAAAGACACCGGCATCATGTTTGGCCTGCCCTTCGCTATGCATACTGGGGAAAGAGGAGCTAATAATGGCTGGCGAATGTTTGCAGGCTGCTCTGCATCACGCCTTCCTGAAGAGTCCACCCTGGGACTGTGTGGCTCAGTTTGCACAGCTGCCTTCTGGGATGGCCGCACTCGTTGCCTGCATCCAACAGAATCAGAACCGGAAGTGTGAAAGATGAAAAAGACGTCTCCCAAGCCTGTGCTCTGAGCTTCGCCAAAACCTGAGGTTAAGTTCCCTGTGTGGCTCCGGCAGAAAAAGAACAAGCGGTAAGTCAGGGAGAGCCCACCTCGTCCTGGAGCAACGGGACTGGGGAGGTCTGGCTAGAAAGGAAGAAGTTTCAGACGGGCTTGCGGAGGAGCAAGGGTTGGGAGGCAGCGCAGTCTGCCTATGTGGTTTTTGTTCCAGCTCCCCAGCAGAGTGTACCACCGTGTCTGTACTGCAGGTGCAGAACAAGGTTCTGCCTTGGGTCACGTTGGCCACTCGGAGCCTCAGCTCTGTATCAGTGACCCGTGTGGCCAGGTAGTCAGCACCGGGGACAGACTTGACCTCTTTGTCCCCAGAACTCCGCAGAGACACCAGCGACTGTAGTTGTTGTTGGAGATCCTGCTGGTACCAGCCCATCCAGGGGTACTGGGAATCCCTCAAGATACAGCGCAGGGTCACAGCTTGACCACGTAGGACCAGACTCCACCTAGGCTTCTGCTCCAGCAAAGCTCCCGTGGAGTCTGAAACACAGACGGGGCCAAGATGAAGAAAGTAGACAGACTGGAAAACTCCAAGTGTAGCCAAATGAGCTGACTCCTGAAGGAAACCCTGGAGTTACACAGACGCAGGGCTGCTGAGACCAGAAGCCTTGGCCACAGAGAGAGGCTGTGCCAGACGACTGTCTTAAAGGAGTTAGGGACAGCTTCTCCACTTGCTGGGCTAAAGCGGCCTGCCTCTCTTCCTCTCCCTCCACCCTCTGGCTCCCTTAGCTGCCATCTGACCTGTAGTCACAGAAGCAGTGAACACACAGAGGCACAGAATGGAAAACGACCACATCCCTGACCCCTCGGGCTCTCTCCAGCAGGTCATCAGGCAAGACAGGAGGGTCCAAACCAGTACGGTAACAACCAAAAGCTCAAGTCCTGGAACTGAAGTCCCAAGGGTGTGACTTCCTCAGGAAACCGATTGTTGTAGCTCATCTTCAAAAGTGCAAACCACAGCTAAAGTCTGCACCCCTCCCCTGTACCCTTTCCTCTCCCACACCCCTGCACACCCCACGCTCACTGAGGAACTCGGCGAGCGACTAGGCCCTGAACCCTCTCAGTGGTAATCAGATATCCCTGGAAGTGCTTGGAGTTTTGGTCTCAGCTCTTTCAGGGGAATTAAACCGTCTCCGTATAAGCAAGCAATGGTGACAGAGCTGAACAAAGACATCTCTCACCCATAGGCTTCAACTACAGGTGGGAGCCACTGAAGGGTCACATTAGGCTGTGTGACCAGGTGACGCTCACCTCCAGTTATCTGCCTGACTCCAGGAACGCAAATGCAAAATAAAGATAGGAGCTTTGTCCAGAGTAAAGGTGAGGACTCCCCTTCTTGTAACTGATCTGGCAGAAATAAAGATATTCTAAAGAGGCACTTGTGTCTTTCAATCTATCGGGTTATTGAAACAAAGGACCTCAAAGAAACGGGAATTTCCCCAGGGATCACATTCTGGGAGAAGGAAAAGGCACCAGCCAGAGCAGGAACTTGTCTCCTGGAAAGAGATTTCACACAGCTCTAAGAAGCCTAAGTAATGATGGGTCAACAGTGGACAGGACCATAGTTTGACCGAGACTGCTTATCCTTGGCTTCCTAAGCTTTAATATCTCCTCAGAATACCAAAGGACTTGGAGGGTTCGTTGGGTATCTTTTTCACATTTCCCCAACATGTCCATACTAAATAAATCTTGTTCTACTTTTCATTACTCATTTGGCTCTTTTAATTGGCTTATTAAGGACAGATGGACAAAGCCAACTTAGGGCACTGGCTTGTTAGATCTCAAACCCAGCACAAATGGCTAACTGAGGTGCCTATTTAACATAGGCAGACGTGGCCTCCAGGTTCTCCCAGCAGCCCAGAGTCCCTATCCATCACTGGATATGATTGGCATTTCACACCCCCCTACTCTAAACTTCTCTAGCCCAGGGGCTGGGCTGCCCTTCCCCAGCTACCCTTCCCTGTATAATCCAGCCATTTCCCTGCCTGGACTTTTCCCGTCTACCCTTTACCCTCTCCCCTTCCCCTCTCCTCACTTGGCCTGGCTCAAGGTCACGTCCACTCTGGACTCTCCTGGATGTCTCTGCCTCTGGCTATGCTGTCCCTCATATCGGTATTAAAATCCTCTCCATACTTTGTGAATAGCCATGTCCTCCTTTTGTGTTTCTTTTAGCATTCAGCTTTGACCCCCAAGTTCAATAACACTCTCACCCTTCATTTTTCTAGAGCATTTACTTTAGAAAGAATGAGTTCTTAGAGCCTCGATAAATCTTTTTAAAGCCAAATACGCTCCCTGTGAGCCATAGCATCCAGGAAGAAGAGGGTGGAGAAGAGATTCCTTGGGTCTCAAGTCACTGGCTCCTAGCTCTTCCCAGAGAGCCCTGTTTCTTTACTAAGGCCAAGTAGACTGCAGGATAAGAGACCCTGGGCCCTTCTCAGTTTACTGAGCTGTATGTCTGTGGTGGTTCCCCGCTGACCCCTCTTCAGCCTAATCTTCAGAGATTGGAATCAGAGTGTCTCCTCCACTCCTGTTATCTCCCTGGCTAACCTTCCTGCCTTCCAAGGTCAGTCCCTCCAGGGCTCTGCCTTGTCCTCTCTTATCTTGCCCAGCTTGCAGTGCTGAGCCAGGTTAAGCCTCTTGCTTCCAGATCAGATGGCTAGTGAGCTCCTCCTGGCCTCTGCTGAACCAGTGTTAGAGGTCATGGCTGCCTCTAGGGACTTTTCTCCACCACCAGCTACATCATAATTGCCACTCAAGTGCACAGATCAATAGCCAACAGCTTTAGCAGTTTTTGAGCTCAATGGGCAATTAGAAGACTTTTCATACACATAGTAAAGATATATCCAACTCAGATAGCATCTTCTCACCCTTCTTTGGACTGGACTTGTGTGGTTCAACGCATTTAGGGGAGTCCTAACGGTATATGTTGTCTCTGTTATCTAGTGAAGGTCAGGCAATGAGGGTCTGATGAAAAGACTTTTGTCCCCAAGTCAGCTAATGTCAGACATCAGGAGACAGTAAGTCTTGTAAAGTGGTGATGTCTTTTCTTCCCTGAGAAGCAGTCAGCAAATGACAATAGCTCCTTCCACAGGGTCACAGCCAAAGCACTCAGGGAATCTACTGTCCTGTGAGTGCCCATGGCTTGTCATGAAACGTGTGACAAAGAGGCAGGATTCCTTGTATAAGTCTCTCCATCACTGACAGGGTGTGTGGCCACACCCTGCTGGTGCTACCCCTTCATACACCCACTGACTTATCTAAAATTTAAATGGACTGAAATAATTATGCAATTAAGAAGACCTGGAGGTTTCATTCTGCTTGTTACTCAGATATTTCCTTTGGGCTTTATGTGGCTTCTATAAGACCCAAGGCACTTGAAAGTGCAGAAACTCAGCTAAGCCCCGAGGGGAGAGTAACTGAACTGTGACTTCTTTGAAAAGGAATTCATGTTGTGATACAGAAAGGTGAAGCAGAATGTGTCCTACAGAGAAATTCACATCTGTTTCTCATTTTCTTCCTCTTCTTGCTCCTCTGTATGAATTGCTGAAATCAAAGCTGCCCCAGACTTGTCCCCCTAGAAGTCCTTCACCTCTAAATGTCCTTCCTAGGATCAGCAGTGCAGGTCCCTGCAACAGACAGAAATCACAGATTCTCCCCCAACCCAAAGACTTCCCTCCTGCACTGTCCCAGAAAGCCAGAAGGATATGCTTACGTTCTGCGTCTCCTGTTCTACACGTGGACACAATGGGCAAAGGGCATAAAGCTGGAGTCGGGGAGGGTGTGGTCCCGAAGAACATTATTTACCGAGGTAATTAGTGGAGTAGACATTGGAGGACTTGACTCTACAGGTTCTCACTAGTCATGAGTCTGCCATGGAGTTGCTATGGAAGACTGCATGACTCTCTTGATAATTTTGCATTAGGTCCCTGACAATCCCACTCTGTGTCCTCCCTGGATCCTTCTGACTCAGGTTATGTAAGTGACACCACTCAGTACACAGTGGATAATCAGATCAGAAGAGGCCTGGCCTTTCCCTCCTCCATGGCACCATGCCTGGCACAAGTAGACATGCATATAAGTCCAGAGCTCTTCAGTGTTCATCTGCAAGAAAGATGTTCCGGGCTCTGGGAGCCATGGCCTGTGTTCTGCTCTTCAGACTGATCTTACTTTCAGTCCTGGCAGACTTTTCCCAAGGCAAGCGCCTGGGCCCTACATCTCCCCTCCGTTATTCCAGGTTCCTAGATCCTTCCCATGCTGTTTTTCTGCGCTGGGACTTTGATTACGAGGCTGAGATCATCACATTTGAGCTCCAAGTCCAAACAACTGGCTGGGTTGGCCTGGGCATCACAAATCGCTACACCTTTGTGGGAAGTGACCTAGTAGTTGGAGGAGTGCTTCCTGATGGCAATGTCTACTTTTCGGTAAGTCTAAGGATGATAAGTTCTTGTGTTGGGTTGAGGATGGCTTAATGTCCGTAGACTCCAGCTTCCACCCCAAAGGTGAGCTCCTTCTCTGGGTTGAGGAAGGCTGTGTCCACAAAAGGATTTCATTCTCCAAACTCAGTCACACTGAACTCTAGTTGACTGTTTCTCCCTACGAAGATGCTCTTGCATTGTAATTTATGTCATTTAGGCCAGTTGTCTGTTAAGACTTCTAAAAAAGAGGAAGTTTTATATTGTAAGAGTCTAATTACCACTTACCTGATAGAAGCAAGGTAAACTCAGGTCACTGAAGAAAATTCAAAGCTATTAGAGATAGTCTGTATTCAAATATCCTTTAGACCCACTCAGGCAGACCTAAGTATGGAATTGTCTAATAATAGCAGTGACAGCAAGAGAAGCAATATTAGCATTGTTTCAAATTCTCTTTATTTTCTCTGAGGTTGATTACTATAATCCAGTGGTTCTCAACCTTGCTGACCTTTAATACAGCTCCTTATGTTGAGGTGACCCCCAACCATAAATTTTTTGTTGCTACTTCATAGCTGTATTTGCTACTACTGTAAATTTTTATGTAAATATCTGATATTCAGGATATCTGATATGTGATCCCTGTGAAAGGAGAGTCATTCAATGCCCAAATGGACCACAGCACACAGTTTGAGAACTGCTGCTATAATCTGCCTTTTACAAATGAATAGCTCACTTGTCTCCCAAAACTCACACATTCTAAGGGTGGTGTTATCACAGTACAATAAAATGCATAATCAGAGCCTCATAAGAAAGGATGAATGGTACAGATCATTCAGAGAACAAGTTAGCCTCTAAAGGCCTCAATGAAGGATTATTAGAACTTATGAAGCTAATATTTGAAGTGATGAAACTCCAGCAGACATGCTCTGTCCACTCTGAAAACACACTTATTTGTGCAATGGAGGTAGCTGGCATCTGCCATTTTAGCATACGCCTGATGTCCCAATGCCTAATTGTTTGGGAATCTGGTTCTTGCTTCTTAATGATCACTGGACTCCAGGATCAGCACCTTCTGGATGAAGACACTCTGGAACAGGATGGGAGCCAGGATGCTGAACTACTAAAGCTCACAGAAGACTCTGTCTCTACCACCATGCGCTTCTCCAGGCCCTTCCGATCCTGTGACCCACAGGACCAAGACATTACGGTAAAATGTGGAAAAGAGAAAACAATTGTTAGCCATAACCAGCTTCTCCAAAGAAAGTGTAGTCTTCTCAATTCATGCAACTAGTCACAAATTTATGAAACTATCATCCTTTAGTCTTCTTGGGTGATGACCAATTGTATCACCTCCTGAAACTCTTATTGTTAATTGGCATGGTCCTACCCAATGGCTAAATGCCCATTCTAATATCCCCCTCTTAAAGGACTCTAACCAATTCCA